TAGCACCTTGAAGCGTATCCGGAGACTGATCGGTAACCAGTGCAGCTCGCGGAGGATAGGTGGAGAGAAGGAGAGGGGGGAAGAGGGGAGGAGAGGAAAGAGGGGAGGGGAGGGGAGGAAAGAGGGAAGGGGAGGAGAGGAAAGAGTGGAGGAGATGGGAGGAGAGGGGGGAGGGAAACAGAGATTGGGAAAAAGTAGGCAAATCTTTTCAGCATCATATCTATTTTTGTGTGTGATTTCTGACATTTAAATATAGCAAATTCACCATATTGATTCGTTCCATTCCCCATTCTTCTCTTGCAGATAAAAAGGCATTTGTAAGATTTCCCCAATTCAACTGGAACTAAACTGAATCCAAACGAGTGCCAAACTGATTATCAAACTTCAGCTGGCTTAGGTTGGACCCCAGCCACGTTGGAACAACTTTTAAGTTACAAATTTAATTCCAAATAGAACTGAGCAGAATATTATAAGCATTCAACTCCTATGAGGTGCTTAATCCCCCTCCCTACCCCCCAACCCCCATTTGCCCAAAAAGGAGTTAAGCCTTTGCAAGCTGAGTGCAAATGTTTGGGAATGTCTGTAAGCAACAACTAACTTCCACTCCCCTTTTTCCAAGGCAGGGAAACTTAGTTTGATGAAGAGAGATGGGAGACACAGCAGATGATTTACAGAGCCGCTTACTTACATATAAATTCCTGCCCTTACAGCCTCACTGAAATCAAATCGTATTGACTTGTGGAAATGCAATAAAAAAATCCATCGGACAGTAACACAGATATTTCATAGAAACCATCATGACCCCAAAAAATGATAAAACATGCATCACAACAGGCTTTCCTAGTTGTGCTAGTTGTGTCCCAATGTCGGATGCAAGTCCATAAGTTATGTGCTTGGCATTGCGACATGGCAATATATTCGAGCTTTCTTGTTCTGTCCCCTGCAGAGCCGTATGGACAAGAACCAAAATGAAGCTGGTAAGGGACCAGGAGATAAGACTTGGGGTGCTGCAGGCTGACCTCCATAAAATTCACTGCTTAGATCAAGGGTGTCAAACTCGATTTCATTGAGGGCCACATCAGGGTTGTATTTGACCTCGGGGAGCCAGGTGGGCATGGCCAGCTTGATGTCACCCGTTTCGGACGTGCCTGTGGTGGCCCAAGCACTCTGCCAGCAAAAACGGGCTCCTGAGCTCCATTTTCGGCTGCAACGGCCTCCTGCAATCCTCTGCCAGCAAAAACGGAGCTCAGGGGGATCCCACATGGCCTTCCCGAGCTCCATTTTTGCTGGCAGAGGCACCGCGGGCAGGTCCTTTGCTGTTTCTAGGGCAGATCCATGGGCCAGACCTAAGCACCCCGTGGGCCAGATTCGGCCCCCAGGCCTTGAGTTTGACACCCCTGGCTTAGATGGTAATAACTATAGCAATAGCACTTAGATACCTCTTTTTAGAGATTTTTTAGAGATTTTATTAATATTTGTAGGCCGCCCTTTTCCCTGAGGGGACTCAGGGCGGCTCACATAAAATCGGGGAAGGGGAAATAGAACAAGCAGAGATGGGAAGTGTTATTTTGAGAAGGGGGGGGAATAGCTACTCAGGCATTATTGTGGCCGGACAACTTCGAAGGCTGCATAAAAACAAAGCCCATAAGGCCCACAGGAGGGACCCCAAGGCCCCCCAAGGACCGTGACTAACAGCCAG